GGGCCGGCTAGCTGCAGTCGGCAGCGCAGTGATATTCAGGTGTACATGCAGCAGCAGCAGCAGCAGCAGCTGCTGCTGCAGCAGCATAAATTTTTTATATAAAAATATAAACTCTATACTATTTGCTGCTGCTGCAGTTGCTGCTGCGGCGCTCCTGCGGCTACAGCTGCAGCAGCAGCAGCAGCAGCAGCAGCAGCAACTACAGGCCCAGCGCTGAGACACTGCCGATGTCTTGCGTTGTATACTACAGCAGCAACTGCAGCAGCAACTGCAGCAGCAACTGCAGCAGCAGCAGCAGCAGCAGCAGCAACTGCAGCAGCAGCAGCCGCAGCAGCTGCAACTGCAGCAGCTTTTAATGTATGGGTAAGCCGCAGCGTCCTTGCCTGTCATTTGCCGGCAAACACAACTCGCAGCAGCAGCAGCAGCAGCAGCAGCAGCAGCAGCAGCAGCAGCAGCAACTGCAACTGCAGCAGGAGCTGCAGCAGCAACTGCAGCACCAACAGCAGCGACCGCAGCAACAGTAACTGCAGCAGCAGCAGCAGAGATTGTAGCAGCAGCAGCGTCAGCAATTGAAACAGGAACAGCAGCATCAGCAGCCGCATCAGCTGCAGCAGCTGCAGCAGCACCAACAGCAGCAGTAGCAGCAGCAGCAGCAACAGCACCAGCCGCAGCAGCAGCAGCAGCTGCAGCAGCAACAGCAGCAGCAGCAGCAGCAGCAGCAGCAATAGGCCTCCGCATAGCCCCGTTGAAGGCCCTATTTATATGTGAGCTCCGCACAACAGCAGCAGCAGCAACAGCAGCTGCAGCAGCAGCAACAGCAGCTGCAGCACCGGCAACAGCGGCTGCAGCAGCAGCAACAGCAGCTGCAGCAGCAGGATTAGCGACAGCATCATCATTAGTGAGCAACAACAGCAGCAGCTGCAGCAGCAGCAACAGCAGCAGCTGCGGCAGCAGCAGCAGCAGCAACAGCAGCAGCAGCAGCAGCAGCAGCAGCAAGAACAGCAGGTATAAAGAAAATGCAAACAGCAGCACAGGCTGCTGCTCCCAGCATGGAGCAGCTGGGTCGTTGCTGCGGCCCTTCCTCATCGCCAGCAGCAGCAGCAACAGCAGCAACAGCAGCAGCAGCAGCAGCAGCAGCAGCAGCAGCAGCAGAACCATCTGCTTCTCTTAACCCTGCTGCAGCAAGAGCTCTCAATGCAACCCGCGGGAAGATGGCGCTGTGGCTAGCAGCAGAACTTGAGCTGCTGCAGCGTCTACTCTATAA